CCAGCCTCTCCCAAGCACGGCGTCCAGGCAATGCTGGTCAAGGCGAACAAGAACGAAGGCGCGACAGCCATGACGTCCTTTTTGAGAAGGGGGCACAAGGCAGTGCGGGTTTCTACCATGAGATGCCTTTAAACGTGCATTTGATACCCCAAAACAAAGGTAAGACCTGGCACTTCACTCTGGCAGCACTCCGTGGACCACTCCAAATGAACATCTATAGAGCTCTCTAGGAGCAGTTTTTTGTACTCTGCGAAAAAGCCTTTTTGGGAGGCCTTTTGGATTTAATTCAGACTTGTGCCCCAGTGACTGCCCCAGGGCTTGCCAAGCGCAGGCACGAATTTAATTCTTCCAGCAAAGAGAGCCCTAAGTGAGCGCAGTTTATCCATATCTCACTAGCAAAATACGCGCATGCAGAATTTGCTCAGTGTCGCTTGACGAAGAAGCAAGAAATTGAATAGATTTCGCGTACACCTTCTTTCGGCAATGGACAGCAACCAACGAGAAGAATGGAGTTATTCGACCAATATCAGGTTTATGTATCGAACAACAAGTTTCGAGGGATGTAGAAACCTTGTCACCGTTATTTTTTCTGTACCATTTGGGATTTCTTGAATGCTGCAAGCGACTTTCTGAGCCCAACAGCATCAATCCCGAGAAGTCTTGCATCAGATCTAGATTGTCAATATTGAATCAGAAGCCAAAAGGCTTCCACAAAGTCCAAACGCTGCTCTAGTAAGGCCCCCAAGTGGCTTCCCCAAGAGGCGCGGACAGCTTTTTCGGTGGTTCTGCCTTCCCCTCATTTAGTTCGGGATGGAGGTAGGCAATTTTTCATGTCAGGGAATGGGGTTGCAGTCCATGAATCAATTATCTTTGATCCTTGTCGGACTTGTCCTTCATGAGTTATGATTGTGCCAACTCTGAATCTAACAAAGCCTAGTCTTTCCTGGACCCGCTGGACCCGCTCCAGACAGACTATACTCTCCCACTAGCCTTGCCGCTGAGGAGGTCTGTTAAGCAGGAATGTAGATTTCTCTCGCCTTGTGGTTTTGTCTACCCACTCTTGGCCGTCGCTCTCATGCGAAAGGGCCCATGAAACGCCTCATCAGGACAAAGCTCCGGAGAAGCATTTAGAAGATTTTCAGTGGCCTTTCTGGACCCTAAACCCTAAACCCTAAACCCTAAACCCTAAACCCTAAACCCTAAACCCTAAACCCTAAACCCTAAGCCCTAAACCCTAAGCCCAGTCTGGAGGCACCTGAGGTCTAAGAGGGCCATGAATTGGAACCGGCGGTTTCGTTGCTGCAGGCCCCGGGTGGCATCACTTAGGCGGAAGGGTTTAGGGCTTAGGGCTTAGGGCTTAGGGTTTAGGGTTTAGGGTTTAGGGTTTAGGGTTTAGGGTTTAGGTGCGCAAAGGATGGGACTGGTACATGAAGTAGGGCTTATATTACTGTTGTTCGTGAGTGTATATAAGGTTCCCTCTTAACATTGGTGAGTGTATATACCTGGTGTCCTGTTGGGGGTACAAGAAATATGTACCCTGCTTCACATGCTAGCCTGTTGTTCTCAGCCTTGTGTGGCCCAAGAGGTCCAAGGCTCGACTTTTTGAGATTTCAGATTCTGGCCTCAGGATGAGGGTGCTCCATGACATGTTCACGAATGTGTGCTCTTACTTGCCAAGTGATCCAAGATTATTTTCTAAACCCTATACACCCTATACACCCTATAAACCCTATAAACCCTCTAAACCCTCTAAACCCTATAAACCCTATAAACCCTACATCCAGTCCAAGTTGAGTCAGGCGGCTGCCACGGAGCGGAACCACGACATGGCGACTTGCAAAGGCGGCGAAGAAATGAAGCACAACAGTGGTCAAAACTGACTCGTTACAAGATTCATCACTATATGGGGGTTTCCGACAATAGGGGGGTAACCCTAAATAGAATAGATCCCCTTAAAGGGACCCTCCAACAGGGTAGCCCCATTTTGGGAAACGCCCCCCTGCGGGATTCACCTGTGACTCCCCACCAAGGCATTTCAACGATTGCTCGTGGTGACCGTGCGTTGGTAACTGGCCTTGGCCCATCTTTGCCCTGTGGACTTGCTATGACTTGATGCTACCGAGTGCTACCGTGAGAGTACTCTCACAAATGCAACAATGTGTCCTTCAGCAATTGTACAGACTCCAAAAAGTCTAGCTTTCGTGACACACCGAGACTCTTTTGCAACGGCTTCAGTCGCGCAGATAAGCGAGAAGCTGGTGAAGTGAAGGTTCCACAAGAACGACAAGACTTCACAGAGTGGGATGCAGTTGGTGCATGGCCTGCTTTCTGACACATTGACGCGGCCATAAGTCATAAACAGAGCTCTGCGGCTGCAATGCCTAAAGCATGAGCTGCGGAACACGCGACCTGTCACGTGCTCGCTCTACAATGGACGGGAGGCTGACGCAACTCGGCACAACGAACTTCACCTGAGTCGCGGCCTCTCTCGCCAGAAACCCTGCTACACTCCAGGACATGTAAACCAGCGATGGCCTTCGGCATGCTGAAAAAGCAGAATCGAGTTCATGCTTGAGTTCAAAAATTCAGCCGGCCATCCCAAAACCTGAGAAGCACCTCACCAGACGACGTACCATGCCCATGCAGTGACTATCGGTCTCAGGATGCCCGGGTTAAGGTTACGCCTTTCTCAACCACTGGGCTCAGTGCCTGAAAATCACAAAGACACCAACCCTGGCTTCAACACTCGCGGGGCTTCCCGTGGCTGGTCTGGAACCTGAGAGGAAGAATCAATTGATGTGAATGAACACTTAAAGGTTCCGGGGCCTGAGTCTTCTGTTGGCGGCTTCTCATCCTGCTTTTGACCACTGTGTTCAGGTATCCACCTCGCTCATCGTTGCAAAGTTCTGTAGAAAACCATTTTGCAAGACAAGAAGCTCGTCTTTGACAGGCTTGAGGGGGCATGTTTGCGGAGACCCGCCTTGGGCACCAAGTTGTTCCACCAAGATCTGAAATCCGTCAGGGTCATCAGCCTGCACCTGTGCGCCAAGAACGCACACGGGTCTCCCTCATACTTGGCACAGGATGCGACAGCCCTGACTCAAGTGCCAGACCGCCGTAATCCCACTCTGACGCGGCCCGGAATGTGGGGGAGCTCGCGGAGAGTGAGGTTTCTCTATGAGTTTCCTTTGGTTGTCGAATTGGATGGCCTTGCTGTACAGGCTTGTCAATACCGAACTTCCAACACTGCCGCACGATAACCACCTCTACCTCTACCCCTCGTCCGAGGCGGGTGTTGGTCACAGCTTTGGCCTTCACCTGGTCAGTCCGAGGGAATACTGTCGTGTGACCTGCTTGCGGGGGGTTTGGATGGAGTTTTGGCATTCCCCCTTATCAGGAAAAGGTGGTGACTGAGTGAGTACTTGGGAAAGTAAAGTGCCGCACGGGTCGCGTCCTGCACCTAGTATCAGTAGAGGGATCTGCAGAGAAGCGTGCTCGCCAACATTGGCACGCGGCCGGGCACCGCCCAATGCAGAGGCGACGTTGCTTGTTTGGCTTAGTACCTTGATGGGTGACTGTCGGGGGAAGAGCCCTTGTCGCATGAACTTCCGCGAGGATGGCACGCTGTCTTGCCCTTAAACCAGCTTGCTGGTGGCGGGCCTGCCTAGTCGTTGTTCTTGCGTCTGTAAGCATGCGCTCTTGCGTAACCGGGCCATTTACTGGCCTTGGAACGTTGTTTCCTGGGCTGGGGCGTTCGCCAGTGTGAACTCCAAGTGGGGGGGGCACGGACGTTTGCGGAGCCCCCTAAGAAGCCGGGAAAGATCGGCGCCTTAGGCATGGCTTCCTGCACGTCTCACCGCGTGCAGCAAGTCGCTTACTCACTCACGATGTATACCTCTTGCACACGGTGCAACTGGCAACTGCCATGCGTTGCACGCCACTGTCACTCGCTTTGCAGCTGACCACGTCGGCCGCCCCCAAGCCAAAACAGAAAGCTGCCTTTTTCTGAACTCCAGGCATGAGGGGGTTGCCCCCCCTGCTCTTTGGGCCCCGGTTTGTTGAACATTCGCGAGGAACGATGTGGGTTGGCTTCGCCCTGCCCCCTTCCCCCTCGGTTGCAGTGCTTATTACAGTGCTTACAGTCGCGCCTCTTCTTGTTCCACCTGGCTTGCCCCCGCCCACTTCTATGCCAGAGAAAGCAAGGACTGGCAGCGAGAAAAAAGTGCAGCGGGCCTCTTTTGGTTTTAGGAGCTTTGATCCAAGAACCGTGCCTGCCCCAAACTCCCCACCGGCACCCGGACCCCGAGAGGACACAGCCACCTTGGACCTTTTTTCGGCCCATTCCCCCACGCCCGGTCCCTCAACTATTCCCCAAACACCATTTCTGGGAGGGGGTGTGGGGCTGCTAGCAGCGCTGCTAGCAGCGAGTACAGCGGCCTGGACTGCCAGCTACCCTGAGGCAACATCCCGTCGGAAGCAAGGTTGTAAAGCGGAAGAGACAAGGCAAAGTTGAGCCGGTTGCGCATGCTTTTGTTGGAGCAGGGAGGCTGAGGGGATGGAGCTGCGATGCGGACATACAAGAGGACGTGGGAGAGGCAAGCCGGGGCCATGCCAGCTCCAGGGCCGAACTGGGCAGCGCCCAAAGAGAAGGGGATGCTGACGGATGCTGTGGAAGTGGAAGCAGAGGTCGAAAGTGACGTGAGGGGAAGAATGGGGAAGAATGGGGAAGAGGCGGCTGAGAGGTTGGAAGTGCAGGAGTGGCACCTGGCACGGAAGTCGAGCAGTGGGGCACCCGACAGAAGCCAGTGTCCGGCATAGACACTGCGGACGGTAGGAGTAGCTCAAAGACACGCCCAAGGAACAAGGACCCCGTCCCTTCATCGGATGCCGGGGTTGGGATTATTACCTCACCTGCGGCAAGGCGCCCGCCGGCAGCAACGCATATAACGCATCTAACTCGCGCTGCGACGACGTCAGGCCCGACGTCACCCACATGTGAAGCTCTGTGCCTTGTCCAGGACGGCCGCCAGGCGTTTACACTTGTGCTGCTTGGACCTGACAGCTCGAGGTCTTACTCTCGTGTGGGCCCGCACATCTCGCATGCATAGCATCGAAGTCGCTTGGGATGCGGGCTTGGAGGGTCTCGGCCTGAACCTCTTCGGATGCGGCAAATGACAGAATGTGCACCTTGATTGCCACGGTTCATGGTGAATCCTCTGGACAAAAACAACTCAGGCTACTTCTTTTGCGTATTCCTGAACCCTGCTTCAACGAAAACTCAATTCACTCATGTCCATACTGAACGTCTCAGACGCGGCATACTGCCCGCTCACAGACTCAACAACTCTTTGACACCTTGCATGCGTTCAGAAGTCTGGGGTGCTTGCGCTGTACCGTTTGCGCACCCACTTTTCGAGAAGACCTGCGCAGCTGGCAAGAGCGCGATGGTATAAATGTATGACGCACATCACTTTCGGAGAGAAGACGCTGAGGCGCATACGTAATGGCAAGGCCTTCAGGCATGAAAGACCCTGGGCAGCCCTTCATGCCCACCGATAAAGCTACCAGAAATCAGAGTTGCAGGACAACCTGTCAATGCCCTCAGAGTTCAAAGCGCACGGCTTCGGCGAGAGAATGATCGATCTCAATCATGCTTTCGCGATCTTTTTGGCGAGTTCTACGTGGTTTTCATCATCGATAGACATTTCTAGTGCATGCTTGCTGCCAGTTCGTTTTGCGAGGTGTCGGTCATGTGCTCTGTACTTATTAAGTGTCTAGGGGCGCATGGCCAATATTTGGGCTCTTGTTTGCTCTTGGGCTAGCTTTGCTCACACTACGAGTGCCCACACCTGCTTGTGGCAAGGTGATGGCAGGGCCACCTTGAAGAGGCCGTCCTTTTCCCCCCTCAGCTCTCAGTTCCGAAGTGAAGGGGGTTATGTTTCTGCTTTCCACGCATTGCTGGAGTTCAATGTTTCTATGATTCTATGTACAGACACGAATAGTCAACTACTTTGGGCAGTTTTGCGAAAGCTATCTAGCCAATTGAGGCTGCTAACGCAGCGCGCTTCATCGATTCATTCTGACCTCGTTGCTTCTGGTTCCTCCCCCGTTCGCTTTTTCGTTCGTTCCTCGATTTGAAGCGAAAGGTGCTGCAGCGGTGACGTGCCAACGGAGATTTTCGATGTCCGCCTTTTTGAAGCGCGCTTTCCTCCTATGGCATGTAAATGGGTGCAGCTTAGGTGTTTCCAGCAAGCTTCAAGTTTAGGCACACTTTAGCGTGCAACTAGAGGGCACTCAACTAGAGAGATCCAAGATGATCCAAGCCAGCTGGACCAATCCTGCACTGCCCGGCAGAGTGCTTTTCGGATCCCACCGACCACTCACCTCTGCACAACTTCAAGCTTATGAAGTGGCCCCCAAGAAGAATGTCGTGATTCATCGTCGCAATCACTTGACTTCACTTAGAGCGGGTGCCGTCGGGCTCATCTTCCTCAGGTTCTTCCTCTTCCGCTTCCTTGCCGGAGTTTGAAGGTGCCCCCAGCTCATATCCCAGTCGGCCCACTATTATTATTATTATGATTAAGAATTCTATTAGTATTATTAATATTATTTGTATTGTATTATTAGTATTCTTATTATTCTTATACGATGGTGGCCTCGAAGTCGAGAGTTGCCAGTTCTGCCACTTTCTTCGCATCGGCGTCCCAGGCTGTCCTGGCACACAAGAGCTTCAGGAAAGCAAGCCTGAAGAGATGAGGATTCGCTTCGTGGTTTAGGGTTTAGGGTTTAGGGTTTTTTTGCCACCCGACTAGCCACAGCAGAGTTTAGGGTTTAGGGTTTAGGGTTTAGGGCGCTTCGTGTAGACTTGAGTCAAAACAACTCTACAGCCTCGGACCAGCAGGCCAGCAGGTAGAGACGCACACCGCAAGGCGCAGCGAATTGACAGCAAACCCCTCGGATCGATTAGATGACCTATATGCCACTAACCTGACGACGTAGACCTCAAGGTTACCACTGAAAAGCCGTAGACGTGACCACAGGGAGGAACTCAAGAGAACGTGCAGAACATGCTGGGACACGGGCAGGGGCAAAGGAGACAAATGTTCGGATCAACTCCCCCCCTAAACCCTAAACCCTAAACCCTAAACCCGAAACCCTAAACCCTAAACCCTAAACCCTAAACCCTAAACCCCCCCCCCCCCGGGCCAGACCCCCGATGTGGCTTGGAAAACCTCTTGGTCCGCCAAAATGCAAAGGCTTCTCCTGGTCAGCCCTTTGTCTTTGGCAACTCGTTTGGAGGGCACATCTGAGTTTCCATGCATCGCCGTCACCCTTTAGCCAAAGCGCAAGAAGTCACGCCAAAACCGCCGGCCCACACCCCCCATCCCACACAAGCTCAGCCGTTTCCAACACCTAAACCCGATCGCTTCACACAAACTCAGCCGTTTCCAACACCTAAACCCGCATCGCTTCACCACGCAGCGCTGTCAGAACCGTTCCGAAATCCCAAAAAGAACTCGCGCGCAACGCTCTTTATTAGTGAAGCTAAGCCCTGCAAGTGACTAAGTGAGAGTCTTCGGAGCGGCCTGCTGCTGGGAGATGTGTGCTTTGCCACTTCCTTCAACTTCGAGTAGAAATCCTTCACATCCACCTGGCCGATGTCAACAAGATGAGAAGAGATGCACGGCCCTTCTACTACTACTGTCCAAAAAGCTGACAATGATCCCTATACTGCCCTTTTAAGGAAGAATTTTGTGTGTGTGTTTTTTTTTTTTTGGGGGGGGGGAGGTTCTTAAGCAAATCGTAGTCTGTGAAATGCTTTCCGGCTGCCTTGGCCACCGATGCTGGCATGGAAAACCCGTCCTGGCTCATCTCCGTTCCGCGGACTCCCACGCTTTCCCCCCCATACACGCAGAAGAGGGGCCGTCGCAAGTTCCTTGATGTTCTTCAACGCCGCAAGGAAGCCTCCCTTAAACCCCAAACCCTGAACCCTGAACCCTAAACCCTTTGTTGAACCCGCAACCCTGAACCCTGAACCCTCGGGCACTTTTTTCTCGCCAGGTCAGAGCAGTCCTTGCAGGACTTCTTGGTGTCCGAGCTCCCGGTGAGGCTGGTCTTGGCACACACAACACAACAGGGCCTGCCTGGATCAAGTAACACTGCACCATTGTTGGGGTACTATGAAAGACTTGAAAGATAATCATTTATATGTTACTTATGGGGTGCAAGCCCTCATAAACATGTAAAATGATTTTCAACAAGGACCCGGAAAGTCTCCATCTGCCCTCCACGCGAGCCTCGCAACTCCCCAAAAACCCTTGCACCTTCAAACTCCGGAGGGCCACGAAGCCATGATGACGGCACTCCAGCATGCGGGCAAGATACGGAGGTGGAAGGAATGGAAGCATCGCAGTCATGCAGCAGTTGCTGAGAGCCAGAAGCCTGGCAAAGTGCAAGGCGTTGGCGGCAGTGTCGGGGAGACCTTATTTTGTGGGGGTACGCGAAAATAGGGGACCCCCAATTTAGATCCCCTAAATAGTAGGATTCCCGTATTATGACCCCATATAGGTCTAAGCAGAAATCTTGCAAGCTTCAAATGACGCGAGTCTCGCCTCTTGCCGATGCTCCTGCACCCGCTCCTCCGGCAGTGCAGTCCTGGTGTGCGGTTGTCACGAATCATCCCCCCGATGCTTCATACGGAGCATGCATGAAAACCATTGTGCACGCGATGTGTTTTTGGCCCGGTTGTTCAATCGAGGAGGCTTCAGTTCATCCGGCTCCCACCGCGTTCTGAAGTTCTTGCGGGACTACGTGGTTTGTAGGTAGTGCCATCGCTACTGTGACACAGTGAGAGCTCCAAACTGAAGTTACATTTGCCGCCCACGCTCCCTTGACACAGACCAAGTGAAAGTGCTTAAAGAGTGCAATCAGAGGCGCGCCTGCGATCCTTGCCTTCGTACGGGCTGAAGAGGTCTTCTCCCTGAAGCCGCAGCTCGCATCCGTTGGACGAACATTCAAGACAAAAGCTGAAGCTTCAAACCAATTCTTCCGCACCATCGGGCATGCCACATGATTCGATGACATGCTGAAGACTCAAAAAAATGCTTAGACTTTCAAGACCATATGACTGCGAGCCTGGGCATGCCATGCAGTCGATACAAAAAAACTATAAAGAACTTCAGATTTCTCTCATTTTTTCGCAGTTCTCAGGCCCGGTCCCTGCCGTTTGTCTGAGTCGGCAACTTTTAACTGCCGAGAACTTGAGCTTTCATGTTTCGGCCCGCTTTCGGGGAAATGCGTGCCTGATAAACTAGAAGGATGGAGAAGCCTGCAGGGCAGACACCTGTAACATGCAGCACACCTTCTTCACTTCGGTCCTATGAGGTCCTATGGAAACATCAAAACACACCAACCATGTCAGCATGTTGCTCTGCACCCGACCATGAGGTTCATCTATAGGACGCGCTGCAAGCAAGCTCTGCTGTTCCCCTGCGAATCCCAGCGAAGAAGGGCCCGGGCCGAACTGGAGCTTTCAAGCTCTGGTCGTCCCCATACTAGGTGGCGTGGAAGACCTCTCCGCACGAGCAACACACAGAAAGCCCCCAAGGGGTGGTGATATGGTAAAAATCACCATGGAATTCAACAAAACTCTCCCAAACCGCATCTCCTGCGCCGTGGGAGCTCGAAGAGCTTCGCCCTGTGCCAGCTCGGGCCTCTACATAGGGATCACTTCTGCTGACATTTGGGATGACCCTGGGAAAGATCCTGGGCCTTTCTCATTCACCACCCAGAGCTGGACTGTCGAGAAGGGGCGTAGTCGGCGTAAGGGGGCTCTTAAAGCACGCCCCTAGAAATGCGTCCAACGGCCATGCAGTGCATGGGGCATCCCAGCTTGCGAAGCCGTCTGAACACACGAAAGATGAAGACCAGAAAATCTGTGCACTGCTAACGGGGTCTGCTCAAGTGCACAGCCCCAATATAAACTGCAAACAGTGACCCACATGGCTGCGTGTTTTACTCAATGATGGCAACTGAAAGCCCTTGTTCTTTGAGCAGCCAGGAGAGTATCAGGCAACTGTCGCCCAACCATCAACAAGAAGCCGCTGCAACAGCATGCAATCATGCGCATTTTGGGGTCCACACACACCAACACCAGTCCTCCCTCCGCTACTGTTACACTACGACACTACGTAATGCAAGCATGGCACGCAATTCGTTTCACCTTTAGGTGCTACAGTAGGATACGAAAATTTGAGCTCACTTCCCTCTACATCCAAAGTGCGAGTAAATTTCGAGAACAAAAATGGTCCGCTGCGGGTTGGGGGGGCCCTGGGGCCGATCAAGCACTTCTTCATTCCTCTACACGTCAGAACTCCTGAGGTTCCCCGAACAATGATTCACGCGATGACAGCTTCGAGGACGGTGACCGCGGCCACGATATCGACCTGCCCCGCTGACTCCGCACGTTGCGACCCTCAGTGCCTTGGTGCTAACACACTGCCGGTGAAAGGCAAAAGCAGCCCCAAATGCACTGGAACGGAGAGTGAACTTGGAAGCAGTGAAGAAACTGGTAGACTCGCTCTGGTAGGCACTCGCTGTTGTAGACATTGGAGAGTGACAGGAATATGTGGAGGGCTAGCGCAACCTTTCCAGTTCTATAGAGCATTCCGTGTCCATCTGTTTCTCTGCTTCCTTCCCATCTAACCTGGCAGCCGCTGCTGTTTAAAACGGCCCACATGCTGGCTGTGAACGCCCTAAACCCTAAACCCTAAACCCTAACACAAAAGACCACACTGTTCCAAGGCCTGGCTGGCCGATTCCTCCCCGAGGTTGACTCAGGTTGACCCTTTTCAAATCGTCGCCTTCAACATTCTGAAACTTTTTCGGAAAAAGAGCCTCCTAAGTCCAGGCTCCCGAAAAGAGACAACCCTTATTGCGATTATATCATGGAGAAGCGCACGCGAAGTTCCACCAGTCAATTTCTGGGGCGAAGAATCGCCAGCCCCACGCTGCTTTGCGGCGAAGCTTGTTGAAACCTGCTCTGCAGCAATCCCAAGGCCTGCGGAGACGCTCCGACGGCCGGAGCCCGCTTCGAATGTCAAATCTCGTGATCATGTCGTGGCCTCTCGGCTAAAAGGCCGCTGGGGCCCCTTGTCCAGAAACCCTTTTGGCCCTCTGGATTTCGACTCCGGGCCTTCAGAATCCAAGGCCTCGGACTCGAAAACTGGGCACCTCTTCGGGACCCTTCCTTCTTACTGTGGGTGCCCCCGGGCCCTCTGGATTTCGACGCATGGGAAATCATGTGAACACCCGTTTTAAGAATTCGTGTCAACTCGCCCCTTTTGAAATCATGCAAATTCATCCCTTTTGAAATCACATGGATCCCTTTTTCTAACCATATAAACTCGTCTCTTTTAAAACTCATCCCTTTCCAGATCGCATCCCTTCAAGTTCATATTCACTCATCTCTTCTAAAGTCGGATAAGCCCTTGTCCAGGATGGGGGCTCTCTTCAACCCCCTTTACGTGGCTTTCTTTGTGTTGGAATCCGTGACTTCGAGGGCCAGCCCTTGGAAGTCCGCCATCGCTTCACATTATGAGTATTATTATCACTAGTACCGGTGCTCACAATAAGTTAAAGGGAGTGCGAGAAGAAAACCAAAAGGAATTCCATTGCCAGAAGCTTTCCAATAGAAAAAGCGGTTATTAATGGTGCGACGGAGCTGGGATATCTAGAAACCAGGTACTGAGCGCCATCCTGAACTATCGTTGTAGGCACGTTGCGTTCACTCGGGGAAGTGGCGACCCAGTTTCGAGATGAGGAAACACTTCGCAATGCGCCAACCCATGCAATGTAAATCTACTGTAAGCAACCTCACGCGCAAACAGCACATGTGCAGCTTCCGTGGCTGTGCCAGGACTGACCGCCGCAACACGAAATATCCACGACAGCCGTGCTCTAGTGTTTACAAGTAGGCCGTCGTGCACTTGCAAAAATGCACTCCTGTTTAATGTGTCATGATAATGTTTCTCTCCATGCTCTTCGAGCACATCGCTTCCTCGGCGAACTTCCGACTGTGCTGAACATTCCAAAGGAAGTTCTGCTGCTAAAGCAACCCCCGTGTTTACAGGATCGGCTGAGGGTCGGTGATGCGACCATGCATGGGCACCATTTTCCAAGGCACGGATCCAGTGCAATATCGGCCATGTCTTAAGGCCGCATTGAAGTTTATACAGCGTTTATGAACGCGCCGACAGTATCTGGTACGTCGCCGATTGCATGGCTTTCGTCTGTCAGGTGGCATGGCCGTGGATGAAGGCGTCCTCGAAAGGAAACCGCTCCATTGGGGTCATCAAACACTTTCAACCGCTTTAAGCCACTGACTCTGCAATTCCTACAATACTCAAAACTCCATACTCCCCAAATCCTTGAATTACCCATGGATCTTATATAAGGAACCTCAAGAAAATCCCGTTGGAGTTCTGGGGGTCTCGTCGCGGCCTAAATGAACTTGACCTTCTTCACCGACAGCTCCACGGACTTGCTCTCCTTGAGTTTGGCCTTGGCCTCCTGCAGATGGAGAAGATGGGAGAACGAACCATGCGAGCAAACCGCGTGCGAAAAAATGCGAACAATTTCGAGCAACATGTATGTACAACTTCCACGAAAAACATTCACCTTCTCGATTTCATGGGCCTTTTCCGGGTGGGATCGTGGAATTCAATTACGTCGTTGTACGTCTGCTACGTACTTGCTTCTCCTTTTTGGCCAGCTGTTTTTAACTGGCCTGGTGAAGCCGCAGTGCAAGGGCTTCAGGGCCATCTGCGCAGGCGGAGCAGTAAGCACAAACATGAGAGCATCTCAGGCCACCGTCGAAAACGCAGTCCAAGATGACAGGAGCATGCAGCGGCCTGGCCGCAGCATCTGCACGCCGGCTGCAAGGAAAGGCAACACGAGCGCCAACCGGGCAAGGAGCCGCCCAGGAATCTCAGGAGTCTCTAGCCAAAAGCCCAAAGCGGCCATCGACAAGCCTTGGGCTCTGCAGTAGATTCATGAAACTTATCGGTTGGGAGGTTCCCCCTTTCACTAACAGTCCTTAATGGGGATTATAATAGGAGCACTATCATCCTGTACCATACATACTCCCTCATGTTTTTTTTCCCAAATTTGACTTCTTGGAACCGGATTTTAGGCTTGAGAGGTTGCACTGTGCATCTGGAGCCTCCGCTTGGTGCGGCCACGAAGCAAATGAAGCATCCACTTTGAAGATCATTCACCTGCACATTGACACATATGCATTGCTTGCGCCTAAGGCTGTTCATGCCCATCACAAGCGGCACTAGTGAGCCAAGGAGGCAGAACCGCAGCTGCCCATTTGGTCTCAAATGTCACCATGAAAACCGTTTATCCTAGAGGACCAGCGGCATAACAACTTCCGGTCACTAGTGCCCGCTGGTGCTCCCATTCACTTAGGCCTGGCGCTGCTTGTACGGCTTCTGGGCACCCAAGAGAATTGCCATGCCGACCGTGATGAAGAGCGTCAGCAACGCAGAGTTCACCGAAACCTCGTCTGAAGCAAAAGTAGCAACGGTTGACCGATTTTCAGGCTCCGCAACTAAAGCTGCTAGATCCAGCGAGGACACAGTGGTGACCAAAGCAACAGCAACCACTTTCAGCGACGCTTCCACCCACACATCGTCGCACGCAGCCTGCAGTAAAAATGGAGCGCTAAGCATGTGCAAAGGACATACGGAGCTAGGCAGCAGCCAGGCTAAGTGTCTTGTCAGGCAATATGGTCAGTTCACAGCAGTACAATCCCTTTTGGGGAGCCGAGGCAGGGACGGACTACAACATACGTACTGGGTAGGAGCTGACTGCATGTTTCTGGGAGCCAATACGGAACTCTAGGCCTATTGAAACAACCTTGCGGTCAGGGAGCGTACTTGAAGAAAATCGTCTTGGCGCCAGCCAGAATCCCTTAGACCCATGGCATGGGCATGACTTTACTCAACCACCGTTCAGCGGGCCCAGCTGACACGATCTAGTTGGCTGCGATCCTGGTCGAAGATAGACTTCCAGTGCAAGCTAGAACCACGTAGCTACAAGCCCACCTTCCACATGAAATCATCCTAGAATCGGTCATCTTCTGCTTTCTTCTCGATCACCTCATGCTCCGCCAGCATCCTGACGGCAAGTGGCCAAGAGATCTGCGGAGACGCCCCAAGTTTTACCCAAAGCGACTTGGGCGGGCCGACATGCTTGAACGTGCCAAGGCAGCTTCTTGCAAGATGTTACTAAACCTCGAATGTCAGACTCCATGAACAACGCGCAGCCTGGTGATGCTCTGGCACCGCCTAATGTCGATGTCCGTCTTGTGCTCTTTTGAAGCGATGCTCGAAAACATGGTCGAAAAGATGCTCGTCGCCTGACAATGATGCATGCCAGTTACGTTGCCGCGCAGCACACTTTCTCAACATCAGCAACCTACTCACGTTGCATGCCCGCTGCCTAGACCACTCGTGCAGCCCAGCTTAGCAGCCACCTAATTCCAAGCCGGGCAGCATCAATTTCGGTGAACTTATCGTTCTCATCACCGTCCTTCTGCTCCAAAGTCCTGTAATGAAGCTAGCTGGCAGTCCGGCTTGCACTTCTTCTTGCGCTCAGCATTCTTCCGACACACAATGCATCATCCCCTGAAGCCCGCTATCATCGTTTGCCAGCGAAAAAGGATGCAGACTATCCTGCAAGCCAAGCGGCATAGAATCGGGCTTTCGTTCAATAGTCACCTCGCCACGGAAGAAAACGGCAGCGTAGGCGATGGCTGCTGCCAGGAGGTTGGCAGAAACTATCTCCTGGCTCTCTGGCCATGGAAGGGCTTTCTACCGGCAAGCACGTCAAACAGCCTGGCTAGATACTGCATCTGCGAACATCTCTGGGGGAGACACGTTGCACGCTCATTTGGCTCTGACTCTGCGCAAACTTGCAAAACAACGCTTGTGTCGCAGATTCTCCTAGCTGTCCTAACTACAACTCGTGCAGCGAAGGAAGCCTCATCTGGATTGCCACCGTCAACAGGCTCGCTTTTTTGCCGGGCAGCTTCCACTGGATCCTCCGCCAGCGGGCGAGCAACTCTAAACCCGCATAGGACATATGGGTGCTCGGCTTCCTGCCGAGAAGCGTCTGGAACAAGCAGACCCGGATCCGGTCTCCTTCCCCCTAACCCAACCTTCCCCCCCCGCCCTGTGGGACCCCCCCCCCCCCCCTCCTCGCTTGGAGGAGCCCCCCTTTTTTCTCAGGGGCCCTGCCAGAAATCCTGCCGGCCCGGCTGCCGAGGTGGCGCGCGCAAGCGTTTACAATTAATGGAAAGTACCCAAAACGAACACCCCTCTCGTTTCCTGATGCCCTTTAGCGGCACGCGCCCCCTCCCCCCCGCCAGAAGGCAGATGTTACGGTGGATTGCGCATGAAATCCCTCGATTCTATAGAAGTGAGACTTACACCGCATCATGCTGAAGCACTGGGCCATGCCAGGAAGGATGGATGCTCGCGAAATCTCACGAAATCTCACGCAACCTCGAAACAATCTTAAATTCATGCGTGCCGTAGACGTAGAGAGCTGGAAAGTCCTGGTGTTTCGCCTGGAGCTCTGCCGCCGTCGAGGAATCCTAGCAAGGCAACTTTGTTTCAGCTATAACATCCGTGGGTCCGTGACATGCTATCCTGTGTACCAGTTGGCAAATGCTCCTGCTGCCAACTGTATGGGAAGGGGGCCGCATCTGGATTGTCACCGTCGCCAGGTCCGTCGTCTTGCTGGGCCACCTCTGGTTTGTCCTCTCCAGCAAAGAAATAGCAAGGCTATGACACAAGGGCAGCTCTCATCCAGGAAAATGCCTCCTACCTTACACATAAGCCTGACGGGAAACTTCCTGCGGGACATCAGATGCTGATCGTACTGGACAGGTGGCCGTATGTGTTCTATTCCGCGTAAAGAAAAAGGTCTTCGGTTTCATGCCGGTGCAAGCAGATATGCCGTCCCTGAGTTCGCATCCCAAGGCATAATCGTTCATGGCATTTCTCAGCATGCTTGTTGCAAGGTACTTTCTACTAGACTTACATTTATCTGATAATATTGTTGATTTGAAAGGTCTCCGAGGGTTATTGCATACACAACAATCAGGATCTGTGAGTGATGATGTGGGCAAACGGTAAACGGGGAAATCGCCGGACTGACTTTCCGGAGCCCTCCTGCCTCGGCCGTCTCGGCATCATCTTCCAGCGGCTCAATAAGCTTTGCCTGCGCAATGACCTGCTTTCCCTGGTTTGCTTTAGTCCACCAGCATACGCAGCGTCGGTTGATGGCTAGCTCCAGATTCTGCTTTGCAATGAGGTACACGAGGAAGCTGGGAATCATAATACCATATGCAAAGGCAGAGCCATACCCGACGTAAAGTGCCTGACGGAACTTCTTTCGCAGCTTCCGCACGGTTCAAACACTGCTACTTGATCCCTGAGGCCCCTGCCCAGGCAGATTCCATGTCTTGGTCCTTACACCTCCAGCATGAGGCTCCAGGTACGAACATATCATTGGCACCGGCTACTGTTGGCGCCTCAGGTGAGGCAACGCGACGCGGAACGAGTGCTCGTTCAGTGGCTCGTCACCTTTCAGCATCGGCTTCTCGAGAACATACTGGCGCCAATGAGCCCATATGAGCCCATACTCTTTTCTTTGACAAATTTCTAAAGTTGAAAGATGTTTGAATCTTTGAAGCATCTTCCGAGTATGTTCAATACCCCGGCCTGCATCAACCTTCTGGCAGCGCAGGAGCTTCTCGCAGCTCGCGGCGCCACCAACAAAGAAAAGTAGCAACACCTTCAATGCCCAATCCACGCCGCGGCCTTGCAAGCAGCGCGGAAATGACACCCTGTCTTGCTTTGCAACTGCCTCAGAGCTAACCATATGACATGGCCAGCAGAACTGCTGCACAGTATGTTGGTGCCAACTGGAGTGGTGCATTCTAGCACTGCCAAAATCCTTTCTTGCCCCACGATTTTGGGAAGGTCCTTGAAGCCTCTAATCCTAGAAAGACAATGGCACGCCAGCAACCACCGCCCAGCATTTGCCTCTGCTCTCCCAGCACACAGCTCGGCTCCAGTGCGCGATTTCGACAAGAAGACAAAGCATCAGCAGCAACAGCGGCAAGGTAGGCGAGGCAAAAGCACTGATGCTCCAGGCCTTCCTCGCGCAAAGTGTTCTCTCGGGAGTCTTTTTTGCATGTCTTCGAAATCTGATTTCCCTGCGATCTTCTTGTAACACTTATAAGCATGACCTGCACAAAACATCGCGCAAAGGGAGACCCTGTCCTGCCGAAGGAACACTCGAGGCTCAGTGCATCACGAACACTAGCCGTCACTAGCCGCTGTCAGCTGCAACCAGCGGGAAAACTCCTTCATATGCGCAACACCGGCAAGATAAACAACAAGAAGTCCTGCAAGCTCCAAGGAGCCAGTGAAAAAACGGTTGTGCTTGTGATGGGCACAGACTGTAATAATACGCTGCCTTACCTTGTGGTGCGCATCAGCACAATGGCGATTAAGCATCGGTGTCTCGCGACGGTACTGTTGATAAGCATAGTCGTAAGGCAGAAGCAGTTGATCCGCGTGCAAAGCGATAGCACAAGCTCAACTCAATGTCCGCCAAGTTAATCAGGAAGGTGCAAGACCAAACCTCAAAACCTGCGCATGAGCTGAGAGAGCACCGCATTCCTAAAGTTGTGGCACACCGTTGTACTTCAGCTGAGGTGCCCAGATGAATGGATATCTCTTACACCACCTGCATCACGGGAAATGGCGGCGAAGGCGGATGAGGGTGAAGTGCAACCATGCCCCGAAAGCTTGCACAATTCCAACAAGCCTTCGCCTGGCCCTACAAGTGGCCCCACATGGATGTCAAGTTCCGGTAGAGTGTTGTGCTGGAGACGCTACCACACTAGGACACCCAGAAGTAAGAGTTCGTGCATGATCCTGTCAACTTTCGGCGCCTTGTTTCTCATTGGCTTTTAATTGGGGTCGTGAACAGGACGTACATGTCACTCCGCTGTGCATAGAATGAATTATAAAGGACAGTCTGGGGGTGCCCATATCTGCAGAATGCTGGCGGGGAGTGGCTCAAGTAGACTCAAGTGGACGGGACTCCCATCTTTCCGGCTAATTGAAGCTTTGCTTCAGAGGTTGCGATTCTGCTGAATTCTGGCTTGCTTTGCTTCATAACAAGCAAGTACAGTGAATAAAAGCAATCGAAAGAGGCCACTGAGATTGCAGGGATATCTTGGCCTTCCGGTGTCCACTGCGCAGGGCGAGCGGCACCAGCGAGCGAAACTAACAAGGCCGCGTACCTGAGGCAACATGGGCAACCGAATACACTCGCGCACCAGCCACAAAGCCAGCAGAATCCAGACTCTTTCGACATGAACTTGAGACAAGAAGCATGAAGCGCGCCATCATGAACTGCTTGACTTTTGTCAAACCACGCGTGCCGAACGTGAGCAGATGCTTTTTTCTGAGCCAGAACAGCAACAGCTACAACAATTGACGTTGGGAGAACAGCTTCAGTAGTAATGGTGTAAGCGCAGCAGATGCCTGAAATCAATAGAGTCGAATTAATGGGGCCCGTAACTGTAGGGTAGATGATAAATGTTTCAAGAGTGGGTTTGGGCAAGTCCTTAAACAACTTAATCGTACCGCTCCCCCAAAAAAGTGAAAACGTGCATGTGCTCATGTGCTCCTCTGTGCTATCAGTCCACCACCCAATCGCCCACTCACTGCACCCCTAGAACGAACTCCCCAGAGCCTCGACCTCCACCACAACCCTCACCCCGCTGCCCACTGCACCAACCATACCCGCAACGACACCTACCTGCCACAACACCCCGCCAAAACCCCACTCACTACCCCCCCACCACACCCCAACCACTCCAAAATGAGTCTGGACCCCACATCCCTGTCGCACGCTTATGCCCAAACCAGGCTCTCACTTCAACATCGCGTCACAGTTCCACGCCACACCATACTAAACGACCACCATGCTCACAAAGAGCACGCCCCGTTCCAAGAGCCCAGAAGCGACGGCAGCTCTGCACTGGCAAGCTCAATAAAAGTGTTCTCCCGCTCCCTGTCAGTTTGTCGTTGGAATGGACCAGCAAGGGTAAACTGAACGCCCACTGGCCGTGGGCCCTGTTCGTATCCTTTGGGTTCAGAGTCCCCCACCCACCTTACTCTCTCGCACTGTGTTGCAAGTTGCTTTTCAACAACATATATTCTTCGGAGAACTTCCTGCTGTGCTGCTCCACCTGTGTTTGGCGAAGGATCTCGGTGATGCAACCACGTATGGGCACCAACTTTTCCAAGGCACGGATCCGGTACAGCACCAACCATGTCTTAAAGCCGCATGCACTTTGTATGTGTCATAAGTTTATAGACACACTGCCAGTATCTGGCCATGTCATGATTTTCGTCTGGCAGGCGGCATGGCCGTGGATGGAGGCGTCCTCGCAAAGGAAACTGCCCCATCGGGTTCATCAGTTCATCAAACACTCTCAACACTTTAAATGTAAACCGCGGACTCTATAAGTCCTACAAGGACACCCTAGAGACCTCAAGGAACCTTTAAAGATCCTGTTGGAGTTCTGGGGGCCTCGGCGCGGCCTAAATGAACTTGACCTTCTTCACCGACAGCTCCACGGACTTGCTCTCCTTAAGTTTGGCCTTGGCCTCCTGCGGGGGGAAAAACGAAAGCGCACGGAGAAACAACAAACATATGATATGAGAGCGAACGAACCCGCAATCCAACGCGAGAATGAGATGGAAAAGATTGGAGTGCGAACAAACGCGAAGGGCGCACATGCTTCCGACCCACTACGAATTCTACGGACAAGCATGCGAACAAGTGCTTCTAACTAACCCTCCCCCCCTCCCGCCCTTCTTCATCCACACTTTCATACTGACCTTAGAACTGCGAACCGGTTGGTGCTTCCTGGCCTGGTGCAGGCGCAGCGCAAGGGCTTCGGGGCCATCTGCGCAGGGGGACCACGGAATGTGGCAGCAAGAGTAAGCAGAGAGAAAATGGAGGCCCGACGCCCAACGCAGCCTAAGGTGGCAGGGGCGCGGCTAAAAGCAGTGCTGAGATGCGCTGGCCTGGTCGCAGCATCTGCATGCCGGCGACGAGGAAAGGCACCGCGAGCGCGGACCGGGCAAGGAGCCGCCAAGGGCCCTGGCCCTTGCCATGCCAAAAGCCCAAAGCGGCCACCGACAAGCCTTACGGGTTTAGGATGAATATTTTTGGATCGAATTTGCGGCTTGAGAGGGCTGCTCTCGGTGGGAGTGCGGCCACGCAGCAGATGAAGCATCCACTTTGAAGATCATTCACCTGCAGATTGCAAGGTGCCAAGGTGCGCAGCGAACACTCACTTGGACGTGCTAGTCACTCCCCTCTGAGGATCCTCTTCAGCCATTCTAAGCTCCCTCCCGCAAGGAGCCATTAAGCCTCCTCGGCTTTTCAGCCCTGCACGCGCACGTCTGCACGAGCAGGCCAAGGATGCAGAATCGCAAAACATTTCTGAATCGGAAGTTTGCGCAAGAAGCTCAAACGAGACTTACAAGCCTCAAATTAAAGGGCTGTTCTTAGAGGATAGGAGGAGCTGTCCCTAATTACCATAGTGACCGCTGGTGTTCCTATTGCTGCAGGCCTGGCGCTGCTTATACGGCTTCTGGGCACCCAAGAGGACGGCCATGCCGATCGTGACGAAGAGTGTCAGCAACGCTGATTTCACGGAAACCTCGTCACCGACACTCATACTCAGCAATTAAGCGGCTGGATGCAGCCAGGGCACAGTGGTGACCAAAGCAACGGCAACCACTTTCAGCGACGCTTCCACCCACACATCGTCGCAGGCAGCCTGCACTCCCTTGCTACATACTGCGACGTCTGGAAAAATAAGTTTGACCCAACACGGGGTTCCAGCATAGTTTAGTTCGTTGCAAGGGATCTCAAATTTAAGCTAAGGAATGGACGGGGGCTACCTTGACAGTTCAAGCAAGTTCAAGCCTTTCCAAACAACCTTGCAGCCAGCGAGCATACTTGAACAGAATCGTTTTTGCACCCGCCAGAACACCTCGGATGCATGACACGGGCATGACTTCACACAAGCACCTTTGAACCAGCGTGGAGCCCAGATCACATAGATTGCCGTATACGTAGTATAGTTGGCAGTGGCTGTGGCCCCATAAGAGGCTTCCAACGAGTGGTTGCAAGCCCGAACCTTCAACCGAAATACCCTAAATTATTCTTAGGGTCGGTCATCGTGCGCTTTCCTTTCGATCATCTCATGCTCTGCCAGCATCCTGGCAACCAAGAGCCAAAAAGATCGCCGCTGCAAAGGTACGCCCGTTTGTGTACCCCGAAGCGACTTTGGAGGACCGACATGTGTGTCAAGTGATGCAACAGTCTTTTGCAAACTTGGGCGGCGCGCAAGACTTGCCAACATGTCCTTGAACACTTCAGCAGTCAGCTCTTGCCGTGACTCATGTCTTGCTTAGTTAGCTTCTGTTAAACATGGAGAAGTCACTCAAAGTCGAGAAATACTCGCTCAAACTGTATTGTTCAAACTAGCACTTCTTCAGCACCTGCCCCCTTGCGACGACAGATGCCTGCCTGTCTGCAGGCCACTCCTAGAAACAACAGAATGAACGCCAATGAAGTCTTGATTAGCAATGCACTGCAGGCAGCAGAACCTAGGCTGGGGAAGAACGTGAAGCTCCCAAAGCTGACTCAGCACATGCGTGAGGCGATTGGCAGGCGGGGTAGCAAGCAGAACACTGCGAAAGGGGCTGCCGCCATCAAGGGTGTGCATCCAGCCTGGTGATGCTCTGGCATCGCCGTATGTCAATGTCCGTCTTGTGCTCTTTCGAATAGAGTGTCGAAAACATGGTCGAAAAACCATTCGTCGCCTGTGACAGTAGGGAATGGGAAGGGCTGCCTGTCCAGTGGCCTAGACTCTAGACAACGCGCACCACATTTCACGTTGCCCCACGTTCATACCATGGGCTGTGCACATGATACAACAAAACTTCACAGCCCAGCAGTGGCAGGCGGCATCAAATTCCAAGAAATCGTCGTTCTCATCATGGCTGCCCGTCTGCTCCAAAGTCCTGCAAGGGCTCTGTTCTTTACACACACACACACACACACACACACACACACACACACGAGAACGAAGGATGCTGCTACCTGCTCGCCAAGCGGCATAGAGTCCAGCTGTTGTTCGATGCGTACCTCGCCTCGGAAGAAGACGGCAGCGTAGGCGATGGCTGCTGCCAGGAGGTTGTCAGAAACAGCCGCGTTCTCCTCCTGGCTCGCTGGCCGACTGTGGAAGGGTGCCAAACAGCCTAGCTTTTGCGACAGACGTTGTGCTTGGTATGCAGAACCTGTAGTCTCACATTGACGGTGCCACAGGATTCGGAGCACCGTAAGAATTTGGGGATTCGGAGCGCACAAAGCTGACAAGTGATGAGTGGTGCGCAAGAGCCCCACCGAACCCTCCCGACCCTCTCCGCAGGGGAGGAGAGGGAGAGAGGGAGAGAGGGAGAGAGGGAGAGAGGGAGAGAGGGAGAGAGGGAGAGAGGGAGAGGGAGAGAGGGAGAGAGGGAGAGAGGGAGAGAGGGAGAGAGGGAGAGAGGGAGAGACTTTCTTGCAACTTTTTTTGGGGGTGGTCTTTTGTCGACGCACGCTCCCCGCGGCAATCGTTTGGCGCGCGCGCATGTAAAGAATGATCCGATTCATAACCTGGCTTCAGTATCCTGGCCGAATTTGAGGAGAGACGCTGGAGTCAATAAAGCCGACAAGGTCACAGGGGACTAAGTTCTGTGCTGAGGCAGAGCGACTGGGTGGCTCTTGAAACTGAAAGCTTGAATGCGAACGAATACTAGTACTTGCTCCCGTCCCCGACCCTTGTAATTACCTGCCTTGGCCGTCTCGGTATCATCTTCTGACTGCTTCATCATCTTCGCCTGCACCGTGACCTTCTTTCCCGCGTTTGCTTTGGCCCACCAGCACACGCAGCGTCGATTGATAGCTAGCTCCAGGTTCTGCTTTGCAATGAGGTAGACGAGAAAGCTGGGGATGATAAGGCCATATGCCAAGGCTGAGCCATATCCCACATAAAGTGCCTTCCGGACTTCAGGTTGCAGACTCTGCCTACTTAATCCCTGAGGCCCTGACCCAGGCAGCTTCCATGTCGGAATCCTCACACCTCAGGCTCGAAGATTCAGGGGCAACCAAAGCAGTTAGCACCTGCTGTAGGCGCCTCAGGTGGGGCAGCGCAGCAAGGAACGAGTGCTCGTGCAGTGGCTCGCCATCTTTTCAGGATCGCACTGCTTCCAAAGAACATGATGAAGGCAAGTCTTAAAGCATCTCCGGAGTACTGTGTTCAATGCCCCCGGCCTGCATCAACGTCTTGGCAGCGCAGGAGCTTTTCGCAGCTCGCGGCACCACCAACGAAACAAAAGAGCAATACCTTCAATGCCCAATCGACACCGAGGCCTTGCCGCAGCGCAGGATTGCGGCACGTCTTGCTTTGCCACTGTTTTTGGGCACTCTGAGCTACGGTGCGCAATGACTCGCGCAGGTGCTGTGTCATATCGTGCCAAGCGAAGTTGTGATAACCCTGCACTGCACGCACAACTTCTTGACCCAATTATGATTTTGAATCGGCCCTTGGTCGAGAAGTGAAAGCTGTGTGAGTGTAGTATTTTTCGGAGTAGTGTTCCCCGGTCATCCGTACTCCTGAAATCCCTGGAAGAGAACCCCGTAGAAAATCCTGCCCTGCTGCGGTGCCTACCACTAGAGAATCCTCGCTGGGCACTAAACAAACACTTGTCACATGGGATGCTGCAGATCCGAGTATCATTTCGTATCCCTGGAGTGTCGGCGCCTATAGAGTTTGGAGAAAACCCGCATGAAGCGCCCACCCCCAAAAAGAGAAAAACTCAGCAGTGTCCCCACCCAGATGGCCGCAGAATATCACTGGAGGACCAAATCCCAGATGATCACGACAGATCATTCAATTTGTTGGTGGGTGCAGACACGGTGCAGATGTTCATGTGCTTGTTGTTTGTCTCGTCTTTTTGCTAGTTCTGGTCCGTGCATGCTTGGCGTCCTCGGCACTTGGCTTGTTATGTGTGTTGCGCACGTTGTTCATAAACCTGTGTGTGTATGGGTCTCAAGTTAGCCAGTTTGCCTGTAAGGAATGCCTGACCGTGCGGAACTTGAAGGGTTGATGGGGCCTCATGTGTCAACCTTTCGGTTGTGCACAAAGACTGCCGGGAGGTTGCTACGACCTTTTGTAAACCTGAATAAGGCAGTCTAGGCTAGCAGACAAGCTGTGCAACACCGAGCTGGTTACTTGGCCGCTGTAGCATATACACAAGCGGTTCATATGTTATTGGTATACTGGCTTGTATTCGTTCGATTAGCATGTTGTACTGCATATCCAATTCAAAAGAATATATGAATGAGAGACACTGTCCTCTACTACGGGCTGTATACACGTGCCGTTGTCACAAATCCACGTTGCAGAACCGCCAAAACACATCACACACACAGAGAATTCTTGTCTTCCCGAGCCAACACAATTGGAAAAACAAGCAGCGTCCACCGTCCAGCAATTGCCTTTGCTCTCCCAGCAAGCGGCTCGGTGCCAATGCGCGATTTCGACGAGAAGGCAAAGCATCAGCAGCAGCAGCGGCAGGGTCGGCGAGGCAAAGGCGCTGATGCGCCAGGCCCTCCTCACACCAAGTGCGCCGTCTTACGCACGTTTAGAAGTCTGATGCTCAGGCGGTATCGTTGCTGCATAACAATAACAACGCATCCAGGGTGGCCTTAACAAAAAAGCACACAAAGAAAGACCCTGTCCTGCCCAAGAAGCACTCGAGGCTCAGCGCATCACGAACACCGGCCACTGTCAGCTGCAGCCAGTGGGAAACCCCCTTCATGTGCACACGTACGGGCTTTAGTAGATTTCATGAGTTGCCAGGAGGAAAGGATCAAGACGGATGAGGAAGGGAGACGTAGAGAAAGGATGATTTTGAGAATTGGAGCTTGCAAAGTGCTTACTAAAGCGCTCTGTGCATGTGCCTGAAACACATCTAGAATGGCGGCAGCCGGCTTGGACGATTGCCACATTCCCCGCCCCTGAGTGCAGAGCAACTCCCAGATTTCCTCTTCTCAGTTTTGGCGTCCGTGCTGCCTCACACCTTACAAAGCTTAGCGGTGATGCCTCGCCCAGCAGCCGCCTACTTCCACGAATCCAAGTTTGCACAACGAAAGGCCAACCATCGCGATCGCAAATCGTTGGTGGGTAGTCGGGTAGCCTTCGAAACACTGCTTCACGTAGACAGCTAGCCTCCGCACCACCTTTCGTGTGCGCCCGCGCAGAGTCAGGAGATTTTGCTAGCAACCACGCGCCAAATTTTTGTAGTGAGGCTTCGAGCCGCTTCCAGTAGAAGCGAGCAGAGAGAGAGAGAGAGAGAGAGAGAGAGAGAGAGAGAGAGAGACAGAGAGAGAGAGAGAGGGAGAGCGAGAGCGAGAGCGACGGAAGGGAGTGAGAGGAAGGAGAGCGAAAGAGCAAAAAAGCGAGAGCATGCAACCTTCACGGCCTCGCCTCTTCCAGCGCCGGCCCCGGCTCTGAGTCCCCTCTGCGGCCGTCGGTCACAGTGGGGACGAGCCCCACAAGGACTCCCCAGAGCTGGAAGAACTGTAGCAGCACTGGGCCCTGCCCAAGCAGCAATGACATCAAGGCCTCAGAACGAACAGGCAGAGCAGGCAGTGTCCGCAGCATGTTCTGGGGCTGCTGTTTAAGCCAGGGTCCTTCGTTTTGGAGGAGATTGACATGTCGCCACCCTTCCTCGCAGACATCTTCTCTCAGCTTGCCTTCTTCATGCTACAGAAATTATCATCCTGGGCATGTCTTGGCCCTTTTGCATGTCTCACTGTGGGGCGAAGCATGCAGCCCGAACATGTCCGAACTGCTGTGTGCCTCCGCATGACGTATAGACCAGCTGATGCCATGGTGACCAGCAGCGCGCCAGCCAGCCAAGCCCGGACATGCCCAGCAGCCTCACACCTGCTGCAGTTTTTCATTGGGACACAAAATTCTAGAATGCAATGCCTGCATAATCCTGCATAACAAGCTGCACTGCAGGTGGCCTCTCGCAGCGGCCAGCCCTGCTGCGGAACGTCTCTGCACAAATGCTGCAGAGAATGCCCTCGTAGCCTCGGCTCATCACCCTCGCACAAGACGGTGTCGGAAAAAAAGCTGGAGCAAAGCAGCCTTCCGCGCAGCCACGATCCTTCCAACGTTCATTGCTGCTGGTCGAATCGCACCGATCTTTAGCTGGGGCGAAGCACCTCCCAGGCCGAGCAGAGCCAAGCTGAGCGACAGGCATCATCCCTCTTCGGATCACGAGCAGCAAAGCAACGACTGAGACCAGCACCGAAAGCACAGGTTTGTGGCGTTTGGGCTCGCAAGTCCCGCCACGCAGTGGCAAAGCTGGTCAGCCAGGAACATTTCCGGAGTGACATCCAACACCGTGGCTTGCAAATTTGCACAGGCGAGTCGGTCTCGGTTTGCCAGCACCTTCGCGCGCAGCGGAGGAAGCATGTCCAAAGCTTCACCCGCTTCCTCCGCCGTCAGCTTGATCCCTCTTAGGTCGAGCTTGACACCTTGCCGGAAAGCACTTCGGAAGGCCCCCTCTGCGAAAGTGATGCTACTAGCATCGTTCTGTGCTAGGGAAAGCAGGCCCCCAGCATCCAAGGTCTGAAGGGAAGTGGCTAATAGGTAATTGGCCATGTAGGGCAGTGTGCCTGTGAGGCCGGACCGCGTCGCGAGGATCGTCACAATCCGCTGCGAATAAGCCATTGGCCAAAGAAGCTCGTCCACCGGGCTGTTCAGTGGGCACCCAGAGACCTCCAGCAGACACAGCAGACGCAACAAGAAAGCTTGGTGCACTCTCCCTCGCAGACGAGCGGCGTCCAGCACGGTTAGACTTGGCAGCATCTCTTTTCCCCCCCAAATTCGTTGGTAAAGCTGGTCAGCTTCTTTCTCTGTGGGCACGAAGTGAACTAGGCTGCCCTCAGCACACGCACACATGCATGGGTGGGCCCTTGCTCAACGTAGGTGTAGAAATGCCTCAGGCACCGGCCGCTAGGTCTAGGATGCTGAGCCCAGGGAGCCGCCCGGCCCAGTCGGGCGTCAGACGACCCGCGATATTCGTGTTCCTCAACGTAACCTGCTCCAGCTCTGGAAGATCCAGGAGGTCCTGGAGGGTCCCGGTAACCGCCGTCGCCGATAGGTCCAGGCATGTCAAGTGTTTAAGGCCACGCAGGGCCGTCAGCTGCCCGGTGATACTCGTCTCTGCTAGCAGCACATGCTTCACGGCTGCGAGTTCAGACAAGACTTTCAGGCTGCCGCTGGTTTGTGTCTTGGACGCAATTAGCCAAGCCAATCGCCGCAGGTGCTTCAAGTCCTCCAGCTTTCCGTGCACCGGTGTCTGGAACAGAAAGAGAGATTCCAACTCCTTCATCTCGCGCAGAGCATCCAGCCCTCCCGTGATGTTAGTCTCGGACAGGTCCAGATACTGCAGCCGCACTAGTGGATGCAAAGCTCGGAGGTCGCCTGACAGATTGTTCTGTCCGAGGCGCAGTTTCTCCAGGTGCTTCAACTTGCCCAGCTCCATGGGCAGCTCGCCCTGCAAGTTTCTGCCTGGCAGATGGAGCCCCTTGACACACTTCTTCTCCTCGTCGCACTCAACTCCATTCCACTTGCAATAATGCGTGTATTGCATGTCATCTTCAGCCACGCCCAGCTTTTGCAGCACCACTCGCAGATTGGCGCCTTCTTGATCGCCTTGGCCGGGATTCCAGAACCGCATGCCGCTAGAAGCTGACTGCAGCGGAGCTGCAGCTACTGGTCCTGCTCTCCAGCATGCTGGAGGTTGCCTCTCTTCAGCCCTATGGAGGTGATTGGAACCGAGCACATAGCGCCACAGCCAGGACCTCTAGAAGCAAACCGGCCTGATCCTGCAAGTTTGGGGCCAGAAGAGTCTGATCATTGAGGTCCTGCCGTATATGTCTGAATGCACAGCAACAAGCTTCTGCATGTCCGGATGTGGCAGCCAAATCGTGTCCCAAAAGCTCCCCCCCTGTCCTCTGTGAGACGCTTAGCAGCTGTCAGAGCCCAGCAAAGTGCCAGCCGTGCAAAAGCCATCTGACAACGAAGAACTTTTGAATCTGAGAAATATTCAATACCCTTCAACGAAATTAAGGGGTAGGGTAAAATCCTTCCTTGTATTCTCCTTTATAAGTTAAGGGGTATGCGTTGGGGTATGTTGAATTATTCTTAGATTGAAGGGTCCTGTACGTAACTTTCTCTATTCTTCTATCTTTTCTCCTTCCATCTTGTGAAGCGATAGTCTTGAATGCCTGCGATGATTGGCCCGAAGGGCATCGCCGTTTGGGTGCCTTCTCTGGGTTTCGGCTGCAGACATGGAGTGGGCTGGGAGTGTTTCGCAAACCTGCGGAGCCCAATGGCTTCAAGCGCGCGCAACCCAACTCGCACGTGCAGGATTTGGAGATGCATGGGGCCAATGGCTGCCCTGGGAGGTCTCGGCCGACACCTGAACATGCGCATGGTCGAAATCATTTCCGACAAAGAAGTGCTTCCGACCTGCTTGATGACTTGATGTTGACCTGAAGACACACCACGTTCTCGAAATTGGGTGCCTTTTGCGGAGGCCTGAGGATGTTTAGAGGCGAGTGATATCTACACGTTCACCAGAATGCGGTGTGGAATCACGCTGCCGAAGCTCATTGCATCAAAAAACACGAGGGACGCAGGCAACCCAAGTCTTTTTGTCAACCGTCCATCTGGGCGCGGCATCTCAAGTTTCTCCGCGCCTTTGACCACTGACATCAAAGAAGCAATGCGGTCTACGTCAAGCTTCAAGCATCCTCGAGTCCTAGGGAAAACGACCATCCAATGCTCAGGCACAATCCTATAGTCTGCTCAAACTTTACGGCTGTGAGAAGGACTCCCAGGCCGAGGATGCCTTCTGCTGGACAACTGCGAACCAGCTGGGACTTGTCCAGCCTTGTGGCGGTGCTTTGGGGGTCGGAGGCCCTTCGGGCCTCTGCCCAGAATCCGCCGTAGCCTCACTGCCCGGGTTGGCGGCGGGGCTGGTGGCCGCGTTGGCTGTGCCGGCCGCGTCGGCAGCATGAGCTCTCCCGGCCACGAACTGCGCATAGGTCACGCGCCCGTGCTCGGGAAGGGGCAGCGCGGCAAAGGTCTTGGCTCTCAGCTTCACCTCATCGAGCAAGAGGACCTTCGGAGAGGAGATGGGCTCCCAGCTGTTCCCGGTCTTGTACTTGGCATAGAATGGGGAGTTGCGGAGGGGAGCCGCGACCTCGCCTGCCTTGCGAGCAGCCTCCTTCGCACGGCGTGTGTGGCCCTCTTCGTCCACCGCACGCTCCTGCCACAAGGCCAACATCTTGAGAAGGTCGTGAATGGGGAAGCCCAGCTTCACGGAGATAGCCATCGACATCTTTGGGACGCCAACGCCATCAACATCCTCCACGTGAAGCCTGAAGCCATCCACAACGTTGCACATCACCTGTACGGGCACCTGACCGATAGTCATGAGTCAGAGAGCAAGCAGGGAGCTGTCCAGCGAATTCCTTGAGGTGCGGGTTGCAGGGAGAGGACTAGAGAGTCACCCAGCTTTCCGCAACTTGGGCCAAGAGCGCAGTGTGACAGATGGCTGATGGCAGGTTCCATGCATCGCTGCAGCTGATGACGGACAACTCGATACTGCAACTCCTTCCATGATCTCGTTTGTCAATCGCAAGCATAAGGCCCGAAGCAGTGAGAGGGACAAAGGCAGAGAGAGAGAGAGAGAGAGTGAGTCGCATGTAGACAGTGCTGGACTGTCTGCTAGGCAGTGTTACTGCAAGGGAAGAGCGACTGCGCATAGCAAGTCTTGTCAAAGTGATCTGCATCAACCAGTTGGCCTCATCAACTCGTCTTCTAACGACACGTAAATGCTGCTCGACGGGGGCTTCTGTCACGAACACAGAACGAACCTTCACAAGAACAGAATAGCTGTAACTGTGCAAGTCACCTCTGCTGCTTGCATCAGCCACACTTCTGTTGGCAGAAATCCCAGACCCTTCGGCCAATTCTAAAACTTTTCAGACAATCGTCACCCCAAAGGAATGCAATCGCAGATGCCGGGATCCTGCTCTCTTCCTTTTTTCCTCACGAGAATCGTGCGGCGCAGGCGCCACCAACCTCCAGGTGATACGGAGGGACGCAGGCCTCCGTGCTTTAAGCAACGGGGCGATTAGACTCTGAAAGAGCCGGGGGGACAGCACCAAGTGGGGTCTACGAAAATAGGTGGGTGCCACAATTACAATCTTAAATCGTAGGATCTCCGTGTAATAAGGAGCCCTCTATGGTACCTCCTAAAATCGTAAACCCCCAAGTCGGACGGGGGCATCCGATCCGCAGCCTCATTTGGCCATCTGATCGTTCTCTCACGTCCCAACCTGTCGTAGAAGTACGCAGCGCAAACATGCGCAAGGTGGCCGCTGTTGCTGAGAGCCACGTTGTATATATCTTGAGCTGGAAAAATCCTTCACGGAGATCTCTGCAAGACTGGCTGGGTTGGAATCAATACATGCCTGTGGCTTCTCGATCGGCGCACTGCTTTGCTGTCCCTGTGTCCCTGTGTCCCCTGGACAGGCTGTCAGGCTTCCTGAACCATTTGCTTAAAGACTCGTCGGCGTTTAGCCGGAAGAGCCCGAATCGATTAAGTCGCGTGACTCCAAACAGCAGGCGCAGTTAGCAGGTGGGCGCCACCTGGCACTGACTCTGCATAAGTGGCAGTTCCACCGGACCCTTTGCCATATGGGGGTTTCCGAAAATAGGGGCACCCGTTTTGGGGGGTCCCTCTACTATTTTGGGGGTATATCAAGCGTACCCCCTATTTTGGGAACCCACCATATGTGCTTGGGAGCCAAAGCCGACTCAGTCCTACGCATGCAAAACAGCCCGCTCAGTGGCTTGCACAACACGAAGCCGATCTCCCAGCTCCACCATCGTGGCGGTGAAGTTCAGGAGGCAGAAGAGCATGGCATTGACGGACAGCGCGTAGCTGTTCGAGGTTGGCTTGTGAGTCGCGACAAACCTGGCCCCGGAGCTGAGACACAGGGCTGCCCCCCGCAGCGTCAAGGCTGCGCGGTCTGATGATCGGATGATGTGCACCCTAAACCCTAAACCCTAAACCCTAAACCCTAAACCCTAAACCCTAAACCCTAAACCCTAAACCCTAAACGCCCAGCGCCTCTCGAAGTGCTTGCTCGCGCCTATTCGCAGGAGCCCATCGGCATTTTGCAGGTCGAAGAGCGCCAGGGCTGCAGCCTCAAGGACTGCTGGGGACCCAGGGGACTCTTCCAGGGTTTAGGGTTTACTCGGCGCTATCTCTGAGTCTGAGCAACTGAGCGCGACTGCACTGTGAACCAGCACATCATCGGGACCATCCCCCATTTAGGGTTTAGGGTTAGGGTTTGGGGTTTAGGGTGTAGGGCTTAGGAAGAACATGGAAGAACCGAACTCCGCCCCCTACTTCGGTGTCCAAAGCACGATGACCTCGGACTCGGGCAACGTGGACTCCAAGTCCAGTGTTCCATGGGCATGGGCGCCACTGTCGACGGTGAACCGACAGATCTCGCAAAGCGAGTTGCCCATGGCTTCCCACTGCTCCTCGGGTGCCGGACAAGACGGAGTCTATAGAGAATCTCAGGAAGTTTGGCATCGGGAGATATATGTATGTATGTATGTATGTATGTATGTATGTATGTGTATATATATATATAGGGTAGAATACCCCATCCGGGCAAGCCCGAACGACCACACTGCGTGCATGGCGTGACCAAGAAGCCCGGAAGGGATAAGGAGGGCGGCAAGGACGGCGCTGACTACAGTTACGGACTCACTAAGAGTTCAGGGCGATGTCCCAGGGGCCCTTCTTGAAGTGCTTGAGGGGAAGAAAAGCCGAGGCCAAATGCGCCTGAATCCCAAACCCTAAGCCCGAAACCCCCAAACATCACCAAAATAATGTCAGGGGTCTAGCGGGGGGTCTGGGAGTCGGGGTCTGGAACAAAAAAACCAAACGACGGTCCTGAGTTTCAGGGCGGATGAAAACGCTCCCCAGACTGCCTTCAACTGGGGCCTCCCATCTCCCAAACCCCTGGCCTTGGGAAGCCTGAAAGAACCCGGGAGCAAGACACTCAAGAAGAAATGCTGAAATTTCATCCGAGACTCCATCTTCTTGATCACTGCTTCCAGAGACTTGCTTGCAGCAGCCGAGTAGCTCGCGACCAAGGTTGGAACCATCTCGTCGATTTCTTCGATCCTGAGCAGATGACCGCGACTAAAACTGTCAGCCGCCGCGTCAGCTGCAAGTTTTTCTCCGTGTATGCTTTCGGACAAGCCGTGCTAGAGCATTAATAAAGCATAATAGCACACCGCATATACACTCAAACCAAAATCTGGTGTGTCTTAGACATCCTTCTTTGTGAGCCCATGCAACCACGAGTCGCTGCGTCGCGAGTGGCAGCGGCCAGCGTATGGGTTAAACGCAAAGCCTTGGGAAAGCGATGCACGAGAAGCTCCGGGAAGTAGCCGACCACCACCCATATCAATGACCCCTAAACCCCAAACCCCAAACCCCAAACCCTAAACCCTTAGTTGCTCAAACACAAATTCCCAAGGTGAGCCCGGGCAGCTTTCTCCTCGCTGTGCAGCAGGCGCTGGTACTGGGAGAACGGGAAGCTTTTGCTCCAGAAGGTGGGCTCAGAGCTGGCAGCCACAAGCCCGCTCTTCGCTGTTTCGACGGCCTGATTCCTGGTTTACGACTTGCGGTTCAAGATCGAGTATACACAGTTTATAGTGCTTATACGTAGGGTTTATACGGCTACAGTAGGAGGCTTGCGGGGACAGTCTGTCCATCCGTCCCATAGTTCATATCCATAGCATCATGGCTCAAATTCGGAGAAACATCCTTTGCAAACAGCATTTGACTTACAACGCCGATGTCCCCTTAACATTCCAACAGTACTCCAACTTCCCCGCAACTCTACTGAATCTACTGGCTACAGCAGCGAGAAAGAGAAAACAACAACTTTTGCACCAAGGCTCCCTGCTCGCTCCGCCTTGGCGGTCTCGATCAGAGAGCCTACTTTGCTTTCCTGTGTCGGGGTGAAGCGGGGCTTGCTTGCAACACGAATTCTAAGAACATGACTCTGTGTGCCTTTGGCAAGAGTATTTTCTCGCACAACTCTGCACGTTTGCTCCTGCTTTGCGATAAAGGCGAGGTGGGGTGCCACTGCCGTCTTGAAGCTTGTCTGAATGGCCCTGAGGATGGACAGCTGCTCGTCGTTGACTTTCTCCTCAGAACGAAGTGTGGCTTTTCGTGTTCTTATGCTCTTGGCGGCTGCTCAGATTCCATAGCGCGCAGGCACTGTGCTTTCCGCACAGGCAGCTGCACAGCGCTCTTGAACACAAGGGGCGCCTGATAGCCCCACAGTTTTGTGACATGATAAAGATAGCAATTCGAGAGGACAGCGAAAGTCAGAGTGAACAGATCTCAACAAGACTGCGTGCGCTCTCTGGGTGTATATATATATATATACGTATATATATATACATATGTATATATATATATATATGAATGTATATATGCATACTGAAGTCAAGCAAGTGCAGCGTGTGAAGTGCGCAAGTTTGGAGAGTGGCTGAGTTTGGACTGAATGAGGGGAATCAGGCGAGGAGGTGAGAGTAAGGTCCTGCAGTTCACGGGGACCAAACCGAGTGGAACTTGGGGGCTATTCAGGAGGACCCGCATAATTGATGAGCGGTTCGCGAGCGCAAGTTCAGAAACCATGGTATGCACATGCGCGCTTCTCAGAAAAACGTGCACATCAGGACTTTCCGGGTCCTGATATCCAGGTCTACCAGTCTACTTGCAGAAGGAGAGAGGAGGAAGGATCGCAGGAGGATGTTGAGGAGGCTGAGGTAGGAGGGTATCGATTGGGGGAGCAGCAAGCAGCCACTCGCAGCCTGCCCCAGGTCTAAGGCCGAGGCCCTTGCAGATCGTCTCCACAGGAGCATCTCAACCAGGATGTAAACCGAGGCCCCAATGAACTGCTCTTGGATGCGGTGCAGCACCACATCATGAGCAGTTTTCTGGCCGAAGGACTCCAACTTCCCGACTACCATGATGTAGATGCTGAAGCCCGCCTTGGAGATCAGGAAATCAGAAGGGTGCTGGTGCCTTGTGCAGGCACCGCGCAAGCCTGCCACGTCGAGTCAAGCTGCCACCGTGGCAGTGTATCCGTGTCTCGGCGATGACCGCATCAAGCTGCAGAAGGTGGTCCACGACACGCAGACGATGACGTATACCTCGTTGGTTTCACTTTGCTTCCCCAAGAAGCATGGGCATGTGCTAGCAGCTTCAAGACATACCGTCGATTCAACCCCATGGGCATGACTCGGCATGACACATGGTACCAACATGACCCCTTACGATTGCTAGAGCCCGAAGGAGGGAAGCAGGGTTGCGACAAGACCGCCAGTCTCGTAGTGCTGCACATTCAACTGCGACAGGCAGTTGAGGGCGATCAGTCCAACCATTCCTGCGGGATGCTGAACTTGTGGCCTTACACACCCGGTGCCCCCGTGTGTGCCCTACCTCCAAATAAGGTTCCAACAATGCGCCCGATGCCGGTGTTAATGGATGAGCCCTCATTGTCTGAGAATACGAAGCACGCCGCCTCACGAGTTGGTCTCGCACCAGCTCGACTCGTTATACGTGGCTGCCAACAGAGTTGCCATCGAGCCGCAATGAAGCCCCACATAAATTCAGGTCGCCCCTCTCGCATCTCAGGAATCCACGCGAAGATAGACAGCCTAAGCTCTAAGTTCGTCGTGAAAGCATATGCTGCTTCTCAGAATACGCACCAGGGGTATCCGAGCTCCCAGCACTCCCAGTGACAGTGTCTTCTTGAAGGCCTCCTTTGCCATCGCCCTGGTGACGAGTCACAATGTGCTGGCCAGGTGTATACAGACAAAGCACCCCAAACCCTGAACCCTAAACCCTTTTCCAAGAGACTTCGCCCGCCCTAAACCCTAAACCCTAAACCCATCTGAAGGTTTTATAGTGTTCGGGTCGAGCTGCAGCGATGGCATGGAGAGCCATCTTCTCACGCGACCAGCAGTTTGGAGCAGCCTCCGCCTGTTTGGGTTGAGTAGGGTTGGTGGTAGTTTAGGGTTTAGGGTGCAGCGTTTAGGGCTTAGGGTTTAGGGGTTGAGCTTCATGGTTCTTGCCCGAATGTCTGCCTGGCGGGTGGGTGCACGGCAGCAGGCAGCTTGCACATCTTTACCTTGGAAAAGCTCGCGATATGGTTTTGGGGGGGGGGGGGGGGGGGGGGGGGGGGGACCCTCGGCAAAAGTAAAGCATTAGAAGCCGTCTCCCACAAGAGCGGCTTCTTTGGTGGATGCTGCCACAGCGTCGCATGCAACGATCAGCTCGTTCAGAGCGAAGTAGCTCGCCATGCGATTGATGTGCTCTACGAAGTGGTCCGCGTTGTGTTCGTCTTCGTTGTACAGAGATCCTGCCCACAAATGCCCCCCCCCCCCTTTTTCCAAGACGACCCGTTTCCAAATCTAAAGTCCATCAAGTGCGGGGCGCTGAAAACGAACAAACGCCTTTGGCAGCAAGCTCAGGACTCCATGGGCAGCTCAGGTTTGAAGGAGAGTTCATGCAAAGTCCTTGCGGGTACACGATCTCCGCCCTGGCATTGGCCACATCATCATCCAGCGCTTTCTGCGCAGCTTCCAGTTCAGAAGCCAGATTCTCATCAAAAGGCTGCTCTGCTTCCTGAGCGACGGGCGACTTCTCGGGAGAACTTACTTTTTCACAGGTGATGGCTGCCCTCAACGTGCGGTGTTTGTTCATCTAAGCCGCGGCTGTGACAACCTCGTTGACAGCATCAGCGACAGCCTTCAGGCTTGCCCGCCACGAAGAGTCCGTTACCTTCTGAAACTTGACCTCGTGACACAACTGACATATGACGCTTCAGAACATGTCTGTCAAGCCTGCGCTTCAAGTATACACCGTCATTGTTGCGTCCCAGGCCGCGTGGGTCGCAGAATTGATGCCTGTGTTTGACTGAGCCGTAACTTGAAGAGACCTTAGATTCCACGGAGGGCAACTGCTTGGCCTGCTGTGGTGAATGGGCTCTGCATCTCCTTGTGTGCTCCGGCTGTCTGTCGGAAACACCGCACGGTGCCTTCAACAACCTTGATATGGTGAGGGCGAGCTAGAGGGAGGGTTGCATTGTGTAGCAGAGGACCGCAAGGCTGTCAGCTGGGTTTCGAAGAAGGTGACGGAACGCTTGAGCCGCCCATACCGTCTCGGACAAAGGAACAGCCTAAGCAACATTTGGCAATAATTGCAGCGTCTCCAAGAACACACCGCGGCGTGGTGACCGATGAGTGATCCGTTTGCCAAGGCCCCCACTCATGCTGTGCCGCACTCCTTGGCTGAGCCAAAACTCCATCAAGTCCACAGGGGCTCACTGGCTCACTTTCCTCCCAGAATAACTACCACAATACATAACTACCATCGCAACCCTCCATATAATAACTACCAATTATAACTCCCTATAAGAACTACCACGAGCACTATCCATAATCACGACAAGAGCAACTCTCACTAGCAACTACCTTCCTAAGAGCTGGCTCCGAGCATCAGCAGACCTCGCATGGCAGCAAGGTTATCTCGGAAGCCCTCGAGCAAGTGGGCGGCCGCCACGTGCTGGGCCCGGGAGGCCGAAGCCACCGAATGGTACTGACACTGGAGAACCTCAGATTTACTAGATTCTCTAGCATGTAACTGAATATGAAGCAATGCACCATCTCCACAGAATGCGGTATAAAGGTACTATGTGGAGATGCTGTGGGGAGTCAAGTGTAGCTTACGAACATACCTTAAACGTTGCAGAGCATTGCAAGCAGGGATCCAGGCAATGCGTGTGTGCGCCGTCCACGGCACTTGCACGAATGATTCAGCTAACTTGAGCAGTACAGCCTGCTGAGCTCTGAGCACACAACGTATCTACTAAAGCACACCTCTGCTCTCCACATGTTGGAAAAAGAATGGAGTACAGACATTATACTTTGAGTTCAAAAGGCCCCCTTGTTGATCACAACTGAGATCGGAAGCAAGTTGCTGTGCCAGCTTTTCTTAGTCCGTGGAACTTTTATTGGAGAGCTGAATCTGCCACTCCAGCTGACAGTTTGTGCGCAAATCACGCCTGGAAGTGTTGAGAAACCCAGGCTCACCCAGATCGGCTTACAAACCCTAAACGCCCGTTTTTGCTTAAACCCTAAACCCTAAACCCTTGTGCAGCATGTCTCCTCACCACTGCCTGCCTCGCCCTTAGACCCGAAAACCCTATAGGGTCTAGGGTTTAGAGTTTAGGGTCCAGGGGTACGATCAACCAAGCAGCTTGTCTCTGTGTCGCGGCCTGGTGGGCCAAGCGCCGTCGCAGTTCCCGGTATGCGAAGTGGGGCACGGGAAGGAGCATTGCCAACACCGAAGCCAACAGACCCACCGTGCAAGGAGTGCCCGTCGTCCACGGAAACCACCATTCTTTCTCATGGCCGGAGACAGACATCGGGATTGTTCCGCAGAGCATCACGCCCACTGACCTTGCACGGAGTTTTGGCACTTGCGAATGTCTTCGCCCAACAGAAGCAGAAAAAAATTTAGGGTTTAGGGTTTAGGGCCAAGTCAAGTCCGTGCGTCACTCGCTTTTGGACAAGTGCCCAAGGTCGCGAGCACAAGAAGAAGACCGTGAGCCTGGAGACAAGCCCTTGCTGCATCTGTACTGACAGAGCATCTACTGGCAGCCGTGTGTTTGCATCCGCGTGGCAGGAAAAGAAAGCACGTCAACAGTTCTCGTAGCCACGCCGGCTGCACAGGCCGTAGGGTTTCGTTCACCACCATGCTTGCAAAGCATCCAATCACAGTGGCCTGCAGCCAAAAAAACTATGCAACTCTGGCAATGCCAATTCGGCCATCCAGGCCCCCTAAACCCTAAACCCTAAACCCTAAACCCTAAACCCTAAACCCTAAACCCTAAACCTTAAACCCTAAACCCTAAACCCTAAACCCTCTAAACCCTAAACCCTATAAACCCTAAACCCGAATTCCCAATGCCGCATTTGACATGACATGCCCCTTCCAGGCCGTCCACATCTGCCAGGCATGGTGGAGCGTCGCGCCTTCGGTCAGAGTGCGCAAGGTTTCTGGTGCCGCATGTCAACAAGTAGATATAAACCACAAGTACATTACAAACACTACATTAAAGCCAGTAAATGAATAACTATATACATATACATTCAGTCATCCAGTCCTGTTCTGTATATCCCTGTCGGCGGTGCCTAGATTCGGTCCAGAGACGCAGGCAATTGCCAGTACAGGTGCGAAGACTGTGGCGTGGTCCCAGTCAGCCGATTGGACCTCTCTGCTTGCGTTAATTTTTTTTTTGAGGCAATGCGATTGCGTCGATGCTTGCCCTAAACAGAATAAAGCCAGTGAATGGTAATTCGAACCCAATGGACCCTAAACCCAGCCTGAACCTTAACCCCTATAAACGATAATGCTATGTGACGGACCCGTACTCGGACCTGTGCAATAGCAAGCCGGTCCTCGGGGTGCACGGCATAAGTCGCAGTCAGCGCTGCAGCGAAGGATGTTCGAAGGGCCCACTCCACCTTCATGCCCCAAATGGTCTGCATCCTCACGGCGTCTGGGGGTTTCCGGGTACCCGAATGGGGTCCTTTCGATATAAGGGGATCTTACTATTTGGGGGTCTATATTAAGGCTCCCTTGTTATGGTAAGCCGCCATATCATACTTCTCATTCATGCGTTAAGGAATCGAACCAGGAAGGATGCGAAGGCATTTCACATGAAGACGTATTGCTCCGAGGTTTACGAAAAGCTAAGACAGTTACGACCTGCTTAAACAAGGAGGCGCCTGAGAATGAAACGCCGGGGCCTCAATCTAGAAATCATGTAGTCACTTCTCCAAATAATGGTCCCTTTTCGGGTTACGATTATACCCAAGAAAAAGGACCGCGAGAAGTGGGTTAGATGGGTTCATTTGCAGGAATGTGCGACTTCCTCGTGAACCCCCCCCCCCCCCCGCCCCACCCAAGCCCCACGTATATCGTCCCGTATGTCTTGGGTTTGAAGGGTGTTTTGCCATTTGCCTCGCTGACCTCTCGGACACGCTTTCAGGGGTTTAGGGTTAGCAGACTGTCCGGTAACATTTCAGAGACTTGCAAATACCAACGCTGCACTCAAAGAGAGCATCCGCACACAAGACACCCTGCTTTAGACAGGAAAGAAACCTAACCTTCAACACATGCACTAAACCCCACTGGTTGCCATGTTCGGTCAGGAGTGGTGCAGGATCTGTGCTCTATGAACAGGCCAAGGAGGACCACGGCATGTTCGATCCGTTTGTGACATTTGAGTAAGCCCTCCGCTTCACAGTGTTTAGGCTTCGCTGAATCCAGCATTCTTCGGCACATAGGGACACGCAATTCATCCCTTATCTTAAGGGCAGCGTGTGACACGCTGCCCTTAAGATAAGGGATGAATTGCGGTCAAGTGCAAGACACGACTCGGTTCAATGTTCTGGTATGTTGGGCATGTACGAAAATTAGGGACCGAAGAAAGAGCCCCCCCAATAGTAGGATTCCCTTATAATGAGAACCGCAATAATGCACCCCTAATGAATAAAAAATATACATATAGATATATATGTACATAAATAAATACATAAATATAAATATAAATATATGTATATATATATTTATTTATTTATATTTATATTTATATTTATTTTATATTTATATTTATATTTATTTTATGCCTGTAACCTTAAACCCCCTTTTTAACTCTTACAAACGATAAACCCAAAACCCCTAAACCCACTCCGTTCCTTGGCCGCGAGACTTTCGACAGCTGGGTCATGTCAGACCGGAACTCGGGATGGATCTCAGGAAGGTGGAGTCCTGCATAATGCCTCCCGAAAGAACTCACTTAGACTCCTTTTGGGGGGGCCTGGGTGGGTTTAGGGTGTGCGGTTTAGGGAATAAGGTTAGGGTTCGTGTTTTAGGGTCTGTTTTTTAGGGTTTAGGGTACCATCGCCCTTATAGGGTCTCTAAGGCTTTAAGGCGGTTTACGGTCTAGGCTCTTTGTTTTTTTTTGGGGGGGGGGGGGGGGGTTGATACGGCTTGTTTTCTATTTGTTGTCTCTGGGGGCGGGCAGGTTGGGTTTAGCGTTTATTCTAGGGCCCGAGCAAACCGGCGAACTACCCACACGGAGGTTAATTTCTTGATTTCTGTTTTGGCTTCCTCTTTTTTGGGGGGGTATATTAGGGGTAACCTCCCCCCCCCCATTTGCAGAGCTGCCCTACTCGCGGGCCTTGAAGCAGACAGCATCGTGCTGATTGAGCCCCGCTTGGGCGCCGGGCTTGCCATTGCGCCCTCGCAGCGTCTTAGCAGGACCAAGCCGGGGCTGCCCCTTTTTGAGCTGCCCGCTGCTGCGCAGAGCGAAGCGCTGCTGCTGCTCGAGAGAGAGAGAGAGAAGCGCTGCAGTGCAGGAAAAACTTCAAGATAGTGCTTTAAGAGATCCTTGAACGAAACGTCCGGACACGGATATGGACACGTGTTTTCAGGCCGCCGAAGGGCTCTGTTCACTTCAGAAAAGCCTCTGCTTCCAGGCAGGGTTCACGTGGAAGTGGAACTGATGCACGTGCAGGACTTTCAGGCGCTGCATTGGCCCCGAAGCAGAAGCGTGGCAGACTTTCACCTACGCCTTTCCCACACCACGCCCTCATCAGAGGATCGCTGCAGCCACGTCCTGCACGGCAGAAGGGAAGAACGGGGATTCACATGGCATCCCTCAGCACGTCTTGCTCTGCATGGTCAGAATCGCCTGCGGGCCTATGCACCCCCGCACGGGAACATTAGCTTCCAGCTCCTTCATCCATCCAACGAGATCAGAGGGCAATGCCGTGTCAGCCTGGCAGTGAAGAAATCACAGTGGAACAACGAATTGAGAGCAACCAGTTGGGGTCAGCATGAATGGGCCCGGCCAAGGCCAAGCTCACTGTAAAGAAGCGCCCGGGATGACGGATGTGCACACCCTTTCGCGGAACCTCGGCGGTCCGAGCGCCCATTCAAGGAGGGTCTAGGGTGCCTGGCTCCAGTGCTACTTCGTGTTGCGGCCCCCAGATCAGCTTCGCAACGAGCGGCCATATTATCGGGTTCTTAAGCGAGGGGGTGTTGATGGGGGGTCGGTCCTAGGGAACCTTGGGCTACATACCCCCTCTTGAACCTCCCTCCCTGTAAAATCTTCTGTAAGAGATCACCTTGGAGGTTGTGGGGTTTAGTATTGCTCCCTCCCACGCAAGACTGCCATTTACGGCGTTTGGGTCAGTGGACAGCGCATGCCTAATTCACGAGCAAGAGGGAAACCCAAACCCTAAACCCTAAACCCCCAATATCTCATTTCAGGGTTTGTGGGTTTCCCACCCAACATCGGCTGGCCACTGCAGGAAAAGGGTTTAGAGTCCGGGGGCTCGAGGGTTTTAAGGGCTTAATTGTGGCGTTTCCCACCCGAGGTTAGCTTCTACAATTTTACGCAGGGTTTCGGGGTTTAGGGTTTTCGGGTTCCTACTCCCCCAACATCTCCTTTTTGAGTGTTCAGGTCTTGTCCCACCCAACATCTTCTGTAGAGTTTAGACAGCGGCGGTTCCGAGGTTTCCCATTACATGACCTTTTGCGGCTCAGGTCTTCTCACCCACCACCTTTTTGAGACTTTGGGCTGCTGTTTTTTTGTAGTAAAGCTTGCAATTGCTTCAAAGCTAAAACCGTGTGCTCTCAATAATTTGATGATTCTTTTCATGCGGGGTCTGGCTGGTTGCTTCTCTCACGTGCGCTGATGCTCAGAAGACACGAAACCTTTCTGTCAAATGCTCATGGCGAGAAGTCACTGAGAAGCCAACACGCACTTCCAAGCGAGGGCGCCCGGTCCAGGACATCTTCTCCTGCAGTCGAGAAGAATTCCAGCTGACTCCTATCTGTCATGAAAGCCAGCCAAAACTGCAAAATCGACATCTCGTCGTCCAGAGATCACGGGTCCGGATTGCGCAAGTACAAAAAACATAAAAAGTTGACAGAAGCGGCTCCTGCTCTTTTTGTACCTGTTCCGTCGCGGAGCAGTTGAAGGAAGAGCCGCCACGCAGAATCGGTGCCATGGCGTTGTGGTGGCTAAGAACCACCAAGACGCCATGGCACCGATTCTGCGTGGCGCTGCTGAGAGCAGAGCTGGGCCAACACACTGCAGTCATGCGCACTTGCGGGATGTTAAGAAGATGGGATCTTTCAAAACGAGCAAACATCCTCCAAGAATGTTTAGCCTAAACGATCTCAAGAAGATGGGGGATTGTTCAAAATTGCTCCATTCCGATCAGTCTGATGTTACAAAAACACCATGGACCCAACTACATCACAAGCCTGTTCCATCCTGTTCCCCTACCCCTCCTTGCAGACGCTTTGTTTTTTTTGCAACAGACTCCCATGTCTTGCAATCAATGCTTCAAGATATATACACACAAGCAAAAGCCAATGCGGCTCCCAACTCTTGACCATGAAATCTGATAAACGCTACTTTCCTTTTTTGGTTGCGACTTGCCAAGGCCATCCACAGTCGTTGACTTATAGCCCCTTAGGAGGTCCTTCAAACATCCCCAAGAGAGCGAGCTTGCCGCAACCACTGAACCACCAAGGCCTTTTCAAAGAGCTCTGCATCGCAAGACGGTGTGCGACTACGTGCGGGTCTGCGGTCACTGTGAAACTGTGAGGGGCCTGTGGATGGCTTTGGGGCATGGACTTTGACTAGCACACCCGGACATGGACACGTGTAAGCCCAGCTCAGTTCACATCTGTACCGGCAACTGTCCGGATTTCCACTGGGGTGGGCCAGCGCGAGGTCTCTGATGCAACAAGGCAGGGTTGACCTTGAAGTGAAACTCATGCAGCACCTGTAGAGCCTTTAGGCGCTGCCGGCCGTGGTGGCACTTCTGGGTATTTACAAACATCGATAGGGATGATGAGGTCAAACTTCTGCACCGCCCCCTTCCCACCCGCTCTAAGAAGGCCCGGAAAGCCCAAAGGTAGATCGGCAGATTCCGCGCGCGTGAGTGGCAGCAGCTTGCAGGCTTGAAAGTCTTGAGACTTTCCGCCGGTTGTGCGAGCAGTTCCGTGCCGCGTAGGAGCGCGACCACCGAAATTGCCTTCAAGGCTTGGCCGCGAGCAAAACAGTACTTTTCGCCGGTGGATTGGCCCCGGGCGCAGAGTGGTGGCAGCTTGCAAGCTTCAAGGGCGCAGAGAGTGGGCAGCTTGCAGGCCCCAGGCACAGAGGAGCAGCAGCTCGGAAGCTGCTTGTCGAGCCTGCGAGCTGCCGCCGCTCAGAAATTCAGTTTGGAGGCGAATTGCAACCGCTTTCGAGCCCCTCCAATCGCACGCCGCAGGTGCAGGAGAGTCGAGAATTGACGCACCTGGAAGGTGCCGAATTCTGGCCAGACGGAAACAGAGGCTGTGCCACGTGGGGGGGGGGGGGGGGGGGGGGGCTGGGTTTTCCCCCCGCGCCGGGAAAAGCACTCCGGAACCGCGCGCCTCACGCAGCAGCACATCCTGCTCGACACACACATTGCGCCCGCAAACGGGGACCCTTAAAACTCTTGCCTGTCTTGCCCGTCTTGCCAATGGGTAGAAGTAAATCACTTGCCCGTCTTGCCCCGTCTTGCCCCAAGCGGGGCAAGAAGTGCACGACGGGGCGAGAGGGGGAAGGGAACTAAATTTGCAGCCCATGTGAGAGCGATGGTTGTGCTCCGACGTGCGCACCCAGGATTTCGCTTGCACAGTACGCCGGAGATCAGGGTCCAGGGTTCAGGGTTCAATGAGGGTTTAAAGCTCTTGCAGGGCTTGCTTGGTGCTGCGGACAAATTGAGGGCAAGAAGGGCCAGAAGGGCAAAACCCCAAGAACCCTCAATCCTGAAACGCGCGACCACCGTAGTTTTCAGAAACTTCGATTGCGTTGACCCACGTCCTGGGGTCTGTTTTTTGTGGCAGTAGGTTTGCGGGACAGGAAATCATGGTGAGGAGGGTTCTGACCCTTATAAGGGGGTAACCCACAAAGTACATAGAATGACAGCTCAACACAAAGAAACCCCTCCACCCTCCCTCCAACTGAAATTAACTGTCCTAAACCCAAAACCTTGGCTAGGCGGGTGGCAAAAAAATCTTTTTGCAACCAGGTCTCTGCAACCAGCCGGGCAAAAAAATCTAAACCCCGAAATCCTAGACCGATAGAGGAGTCCGAGGGTTTTAGGGCACTGGCGTAGGGCTTAAGGTTTAGGGTTCCCCCTTCTTGCCCAGTCTTGCCCGCCTTGCCCCGTCTTGCCCGTCTTGCGCCGTCTTGCCCGCCTTGCCCCGTCTTTCCCGCCTTGCCCCGTCTTGCCCGCCTTGCCCCGTCTTGCCCGCCTTGCCCCGTCTTGCTCGCCTTGCCCGTCTTGCCCCGTCTTGCCCGCCTTGCCCCGTCTTGCCCCTTCTTGTTCCTCTGGCCCTGTCTTGCCCCGTCTTGCCCCGTCTTGCCTGCCCCAGAATTGCAAGAAGAGGGGCAACAAGGGCAAGGCAAGAAGGGCAAGGAGGGCAAGAGGGGGAAGGGAATTAAATTTGCCAGCTTGTCAAGACGACCAAGCAGGGCAAGAAGGAAGTGCGAATTAAAACCCGCCGTTGCCGTCACACTCCGCACGCAGGTAAGGAATCGAAACGCCGCGCTCCGAGACCATCCCCCTGCAGGAGCTGGGCATTCTTCAGCTCCCTGCAGACCTCCGATCCGGCGAAGTAGTCCAGCACTGTGGGCAGCCGCCGGAAGCCCCCCAGAGCAGGAATCGGACCCTGTGTTATCCTGTGTTAAATGCTGAGGCAGGCGATGACCACAAAGGCGTCAAGCTGGGTCAGCTCCTCAATGACGACCCAGGCGGCGCTGCAATGGCCGTCCCGGACGCTCCGCCGCACCCAGTGGTCTGCCGTCTGCGCCCCGAGCCCAATGTTCTGCACGGTTGCATGAGTCTTGGTCATGATTTTCACGGTGCCCCCGTGCTCCCGCAAGGCCAGCACGATCTGTTGGGCCAGATAGGTCTTGCCGGTGCCGGGAAGCCCGAAGCAGGTTGTCCCTGGTGCTTTGCAGCCGCTATACGAGTTTGAGACGGGGTAGCCGGTCCAACTACGCACGTCCTTTTTCAGTTTCAAGCTGAGCTCAAGACGTCTGCAGTGTGTAGGTAGACTCCCTATTTAGGGGTCTCAAACTGGATAGGACTGGAAGGAAAACAAAGTCAGGGTCCTACTCTAAGGGTAACACTGACTCGGCGATATACAAGGGGTAGTAAAACAGGGTGAAAGTCACAACCCTA